ATTGAATTTAATTTTTACGTGGAAAGTAATTAATAATCCAATACCTCCTCAACTTATTACGACAGCCATACAATACAGAAGAATATGGATGAAAAAAAGAAGTTACGAATTTTGGGAATCAATTGTGTTAAATCATTATAATCTCCTCTCAAAACATTTGTTTCGCGAGGCAGACCGCCGCATGAATTAAATTCGTATTATTTTTTTCGGTTGGTACACTCGATGTGATTCGATGTAAACGCACACGTATTAAAGCATTGGTGCGCACTAAACTTAATACGCGTACTAACGTTTTGACGATGTAAACTAGGCCACTGTAACTGTAACGCGTTTCATTTCAGAAATGGTAACTTCTAAGGGCCCCAAAAACCCTTTGCACGGCCCTGCCTGTATACATAATGTTCTAATAAAATGAATATTAATGTATTAAATATAACTAATTGAAATTAGTTGAATAGAAATAGAAGCTGCGAGATAATGTGTATTAAAATCAATTTTTTTCGTAAACAGCTTATTAAGGTTGCGAAAACGTTAACGTTTTTTATTAAAAAAAGTTTATATAATTACTATTCATAAAAATGTGTACTTAAACTGTCTATTTATATAAATGATAATGTCCATAAATAATAAAGTATTCTTACCAAATGCGAGATATAAACTACTAAAATATTATACATATAATTGCAATGAGAAGAGCAAACCATATTTGCAATGAGGCTTAAGGTCATTCTGCATTATGATTACAATCGCAGAGTTACAACCCAGGTAGCAAACGGACGTCATTTAGACGTCAAAAATTGGTCCCTAACTGACCACTATTGACGCCACTAATTGACGTCTCCAAGACGTCAAAATGACGGTCTAATGTCATAGATAATTGGCGTCACAAAAATGACCATATTTTGACGTCATTTTGATAAATATAATGACGTTATTAAGACGTTATTAATGTAATTAATAGGTTATTAATTAATATATACATATAGGTAAATAATAAATGTACATATATACAAAGGTAAAATTTATTATATTTTTTATTACAATACATGTAAAATTTTTATAAATTGATAATTATCAAATAAACAAAAATATATTATACTAATATACGTATTATCAAATAAAATATAAACTTAATAGCTATAATAGGAACTTAAGTTTAATTATTGAAACAGCTTATCAATCATAATGCATATTCTACTTTCACAAATATAATTCAAAGTATTAATAAAAAAATTAATCAATGTTATTGTTGATTCCCTAGTAGGAGAGCCCCTAGTACGTAAGGCCCTAGACGATAGTTGCGTGGATGGCGCTCGTGCGCTGACTTTGGGGATCTGCCCCCCTGCCGACCGCGACAGTTCGTCGTTGTACGTGAGCCATGGCGGCCGTATTCTGTGTGAAATAAAGTTATCCATATAGTCCATCTAAGTGATTGGTGTCAGCAATCCCATTATCCGTATCAATAAGAGAAAACGCCGATCTCCAGACGATTCGAGATACAATCACGTGCATTGGTTCACGTGGTAACAGTTATGTATGATTGGAAAACATACGTAAGTATTATCATCAATATAAGGTATACTACAATACATTTGTTGCCAATGAGACTAATAGGCCATACCTTTAAGTCACTTAAATCTTTGAGAACATATATGTATACATATGTATTAAGTAGTGATGAATCGCACGGATATAAATATAATGGGGACTGTTTAATAAAATATTTTCCAATAAGAAAGATATAGCCCTTTGTTGTTTTCACAATATTATCCACATAGCACAAATTACTGTTTGCCGGCTGATAGTAGACATTTTTTAGTCACCTTGAAGACAACTTTGTAAGTGGACATTTAGTCTACTATCTATAGGATGGTTTATTGTCGACATTTTCAGGAAGTTTAAAGTCGCCTTTCGGTAAAGCGAAAAATTAACTAAAAAATATTTTTTCGGCAAAGTGCAAAAATGTGTAAAAAGTATCTTTTTGGCCAATCTTTCTGGTCAATATGTCGAACAGATATACAGCGAATCGACGTCTCACTTTCCGCGTGTAGCGCGATAGTCGCGACATGCATGCTCCTTGCTTGTTCGTGAATTATCAGTGTCTTCCTGATAGACGACAATCGTATTTGGACATAAGATGAGTCATATTTTTCGCGTGGCTATCGAATTAATACGATTTAATGTGTCGATTAATACAAGTTAATCAAGGAAACCTGTCAAATTTGTCAAAAATATAAAAGCATAATTAAATAATATAATATATACTCTGGTTTATTGTCTATTTTTTTATTAAGACATATGCTCATTATAATTATTATTTAACAACATCAATGATTTTTATTGACCGTATCTGGCAAGTAAAATTCTTATTGCGAAAAATATTACCCCAACCAGGATATCCTGGTTGGGGTAATATTTTTCGCAATAAGAATTTTACTTGCCAGATACGGTCAATAAAAATCATTGATGTTGTTAATTACTGCTGGCGACTTTTAAAGAGTATTCTTAATAGATTATTATTTAAGTTTAATTGGAGCATTTTCAAAGACTTGATCAATATAATTTTATTATTTCTTAATTGTATTATACAGGGTGAGTCACAACATTTGTGCCAGAGCTCGTGAGAAGGTAGAACGGATCGAGATGAACAGAAAAGTCTTGAACCATTTGCAATTTTCGCAATAGTTAACGAGTAATTAATTATCAAAAATCGTCGTCTTTGCCCTGCCCACTGTCCAATTCGAGCGCGTGGCGAGATGTGACCGCACGGCGATCGATATTGCCAGGCGAGGGGTGGGGACGCGAGACGCGGGAGCGGCGACGTAAGCTCGCCGGCAACGGCGCGCTGTCCCCCTAGATAAAGTTGTTATGTGTGATAAAATGAAATTTGCATGATGAGATATAATACTAGCGGATTCTTAAAGATACTCAGTTCATATAGTAGCGTCATTCGATCGAGACGTATAAAAAAGGTACAGCTGAAATAATACTTGTCAGCATGTAAAACTGCTCAGTGAACGCTTGCGCTTGCGCTGATTAGATTATTCTTTAAAACGTTAGAAAAATAGTTTTATCACAGCCCAGGTAAAAAGTATAATTCGCAAATCAAACGCAAAGCGCTCACTGAGCAACTTTCTTCCCAGAATGTAGCCAGTGAAACAGTCAATTCTCGTGCAAATGGTGACTTTCCAAACATTCCATACGATTAGTGAATTGTGAATTATAAGTTATGAGTTGCGTGTAATTTGGTGCAAGTTGTAGGAACATAATAGAAATTTAAAACTTAACATTTTCATCACATCGTGCTCAACGTTAACGTTTTATAAGAGAATTATTTATCGCCATTTTTCAGATTAACGATGGTACTTGCAGAATTAATTGGGGCTTTGATCGTTGCTCTGAGCATTTTATACATTTATTATAAGTTTGTGATATTTAATTTTTGGCGCAAGAGAGAGGTTTTTTATGTCGAACCCGTTGTACCAACTGGAAATATAACGGCTCTTGTAACTGGAACAAAGCAAATAGGCGAGTATTTCTGTATCTTAATCAGCACAGTATAAGCATAGACTTATTATACTCATAGACTACACCGTCTTGCGGGCGGCTTGAGGACAAGACAAAACGGAGAAGGCAATAGCGCTAGGAAACCTAACTCTCTGATTAAGTGGCAAGAGAGAGGTTAAAGCGATTTCAGCTGAATCATTTTATCCCCTCTCTTGCCACTAGTCTATGAGTATAGGTACTATATGTATGTACATACATACAAAGTGAATATTAATGAATGTGCCAACTTTTTATCATAGCAGATTACCGATCGCAACTGTAGCCAAATCTGCAAAAAAACGGAAAAATCTCGTACTTGTGTTATATGTACTTGTATTTTTCAAGATACAATTAGATATTGCATGGTTGAGACACATCCCATACAGCACCGAAGCTTTCAGAAACATTTCAGAAACATTTTAACATTGCAACAATGTTTTCTGAAATGTTTCTGAAAGGTTTGGTGCTGTATGGGATATAACGAGATTTTGTCCATTTTTTCCAAATTTTTAATTTACTACACGGCTGTTAAATGTTATGATTCTTAACTGGTTTTAGTTCCAAATATTAATTTCATTTCTCAATTATAATTAAATGCTAAAATTAATAAAAAATGTAAAAAGACGTACATAAGGTAAATATACAGGGTGCTTTTTATTTTGTGTCCCCTTTTACTATGAGAGATGGATTACAGACCGAAACTGTAGTCAACCCGGAAAAGAAAATGGAAAAATCTCGTAATATACAGGATGAGTTGTAAGGCTGTCCCAACCTTTCATCATAAAAGGTGAATTACCGACCGCAACTCTAACCAGCTCGGGAAAAAAATGAATAAAATCTTGTTTCATATATCTCAATCATCAATCTCAAATTGCACAACTCCCACTAAATGTACTTTTATATTTTACTAAACTGTAATTGCCGTATTATAAGTTAGGTGTAACAATCATATTTAATTTATTATTTAATTTTATCATTACAAAGAACATACTATTTTTACAGAATAAATGACGTTTTGTTGTTTATTGTATTGCTATTGACGAAACATGCAAAGTTAACTTGAAATATTTAACAGGTGTATTCTTCCGTGATGTCTACTTGAAATATAAAGATCATCGCGTTATAGGAACCTATACACTTTTTAAACCAAACTTGGTGATTGCTGATCTTGATCTTATTAGAACGGTATTAACCAAAGAATTTACAAGTTTCCACGACCGCGGAATGTTCTGCAATGAAAAAATCGACCCGTTGTCCGGCCATTTATTTTTAATGCCTGGAAAGAAATGGCGAAATCTACGCGTCAAGATGACACCCACTTTCACTTCCGGAAAAATAAAGCAAATGTTCCCGATCCTGAACGAATGTAGCGAAGAACTTGCAAAGTTCCTGAATAGCAAAGCACAGATGAGAGAATCCATCGACATAAAAGATATATTTGCAAGGTAAAATTTTCTGAAAGAACTGTTATATAAACAAAGTTTGAATGCCAAGGAATAGAGAATAATTTAAAATATAAAATATTTAGACCCTAATACCCTGTCACGACTCTTAGTCTTTCATATTTCTTTAAAAATTAGAATATAGAATATTTAATTAAAAAATGTAAATAATATAAATATAAGGAATTGGAAAAGGACAAGCAACCTGTCTTAAAGCAGATGATCATTTTATAGAAAAATGTTCTAATTCTCGATTTTGTATTTATTATTGCTACAACAAGGTGTACAATATTATTAGTTAACAATTAATGTAAGGTACGTTTATAGAAAATAGTTTCTAAAATATTTCTGTAATTTGACATAAAAAAGAAACTACAATATATAAATGACAGACAATTTTTTGAAATTTTAATATACTAGTTATAAACCTACATTCTCTTATCTATTTTTGCGACATCATTTCCACGATTTACTTCCATTTTTCGAATACATTTATATTCGTATCGTGTTTTAATATCTTTACTCTTTCGCGAATTCAAATTTATTAAAATTTATTAAAACTTGTGTTTTAATTTTATCAAGATATACGACGGATGTAATTATGTCAACGGCGTTTGGTATTAAATCTAATTGTATTGAGGAGCCGAATAACGAGTACCGTAATAACGGGAAAAAAATTTTTAAACTAAATTCGGTTGTGATCGCCTTGGCTGTCTTCGTACCGCAAATTCTGGAAATCTTTTCCATTCCCATCACGGACCGACGAGTAACCAGATTTTATATGAATATGTTCCGAGAAAATGTGGAATACAGACAAACTCACAACATCGTGAGATACGACTTTATGAATCTGCTCATTCAACTGATGGAAAGAGGCTATATTGAACCTGATATGAACGATGACAAGCAGGAAACTAATAAATCATGTAAATATATATATTTACATGATTTATATATATATAAACACATATATTTTTCTATATTTATTTTTATATTAATATCTATCACATCTCGTAAAAATACAAATATATTGTTTTATTGCAATTTTACAAATAAGAAAATTAAATAAGAGTTTTTTTAACATGATATTTGTACATGAGATCGTTAACAGAATTATAATAGTCTATTTATCCGTAGCAACTGTAAGTAAGCTCACTATGACGGAGGCTACTGCGCAAAGTTTTGCCTTCTTCGCAGCTGGTTTCGAAACTTCTTCGACGACAGCAACGTTCGCTCTATATGAATTAGCTCAACATCATGATATACAAGACAAAGTTCGCAAAGAAATCGATGAAATGTTAGTAAAACATGGTGATCTGACTTATGACGCTGTGAATGAAATGAATTATCTTCACAAAGTAGTAAATGGTAAGTACACATTAAATATAAAAGTCTTTTGTTATTTATATGTATGTAATTTTAAATAAGTTGCAATTATTTAAAAAAAGAAATGTAAATATCGTCATACTTTTCTTTTACATTTTTCAGAGACTATGAGGAAATATCCACCTCTTCCATTGTTAAATCGCGTTTGTACTAAAGAAACGGACTTACCAACAATGAACCTACGTCTACCGAAGGGGACTTTAATCACTGTACCAGTGCTTGGGTTGCATCGAGATCCGTCAATATATCCAGACCCTGAAAAATTTGATCCGGAACGATTTAACGCGGACGTGATAGGAAAAAGGCATCCTTATGCTTATTTACCATTTGGGGAAGGTCCACGAATTTGCATAGGTAAGAATGTAAAGAGAGCAATGCAATAATATAATTAATTTATACATACATATGTAATGTAATGTATACATACATACACATATCAATCTATTGCTTCTGAAATTATTTCTACAACCTTATTTCTACTATCACATTATATGTATAGCTTACATGTCTATTTTGTATTACAATTATGTAAATTGAAAGCGATAATAATTTTACTCCTGATATTTCAAAATCTTTAATCACATTTCGAAATATATTTGATTTTTAAAATATATATTTGTTAATTAAATGCGATATTGGTAGAAATAATAATTATTATGAATATTATTAAGTATTTTTTTATGATTTCTTCAATCCTTATTTTGCTAACAATCTCTGAATCAATAACGTTAATCATTTACCAAGAAATTTAAATAAAATGTATGTATCTTACATTTAAATTTAAGAATAAAATAATAATTCTCTCTCTTTCTCTATCTCTCTCTCTCTTTTGCAAAAATAATTTTTAATGTTTAATTAATAAGTTGTAATTTTGTCTTGTATAATTTTCGTAATGTTTTTCTATATACAAAAATAATTAAATATTCTTTAAAATAGTTTCAAGTATATACTTGGAGAACTTTCTGAAGCTTACAATAAAGTACTATAAAAATGTCTCACAAGTGTCGTGGCATTAATATCATTATTTCTCAGGTGCGCGATTTGGCTACATACAAACTAAAGTTGGACTCGTGAGCCTTTTGTCGAGATACAAATTCCACCTTCATCCTCAAACTCGAGTACCACTTATTTTTAACGAAAGTAGTGGTATTCTTTCGGCAAAAGGAGATGTACACTTGATTATAGAACCGCGATAAAATAGTTTTGCTGTTATGTGATCTAAAAACATTAGTATGCATGCTTAACTTATTTTAAATAAAATTAAATTTCATAAGATTTTACGACCTACACTGGCCAATGTTTTTATTCAAAAACTGATTACAACGTTTCGGCCCCGGATTTGGGTCTTTTTTAATATTGTTAGTTTCGACTGTATTAAATATTATGCTGCAAATTACTTTATATTCATAACCTAAATCTTTACTATTATAACAAAAAGGAATTCATATTTTATTTTTTCATCCATAAGAAAAATACATATATGTTTAATCCGTTTTTCAACAATGAAAACGAATAAGGTAAAAAGCAAATGTAATGTTTTAAAATTTTATTGTAAAATTAACATATAATAAATAATTTACAAGATGTCAGGCATTTAATTTACTTTACAACTGCCAACTAGACTGAAGTAAGAAAATTGAGGTAGGGATGACTTTGACATATCTGCGTGTAGAAATAATAGTATTCATCAGGGACGATCCGGTCGTGAGGTTGTAATTCTATTAATAACAGAGCATATACACTGCTGTACAAATGAAGTTATGTAAATGATAACTTATCACACAAATACTTTTATTAAATACTAAGTATGAACTATTAATTAATTAAAAAATTAATAAAAAAATTAATAAATATCGAACCAACGTCACTATTATTGTATATCGCCCGCTAGACCGTACAACTTTTATTTTAAAAGTTTTTTTGGTGAAATTGCATATTTTCGAAATATTTGCCTGTTAAGATTAGAAAGACTCACCTTGTATAAGTGTAATTTATAGTTAAAGTAATCGCAATCAATCATATTGATAAAAAATGCGTTATATAATTGATTATATCTACGAGACAGTTATATGATCGATGATTTACGGAAACGTTGGCAATGTACGTATTTATTGTATTTTTTCTGCAGGAGCATTTAATTATAAATGCGATGAACATTAGCATATTATAGCAACAACGGTGGTCGGAATAGGGTGGGGAGGGCTCCCATGCGCGCGCTGCATACCACGCGCTGCGTTGTGTGCGTACATATACGGCACGTAGCTTGTGCACATTGCATTGAGACGTAGTATCTTCAGAACAATGTAGAGCTGTGAAGGAAGATAATCTACGAGACAGTTAATTCTCTCACAAGTAACGAACTTCTAAGAATTTTATGTGAACAGTGAATTGTGAATTGTAAGTTGTAAATCGCGTGATCTGGTGCAAAGTTTAGGAACACACGAGAAGTTTAAAACCAAACGTTGCCATCAACATCTAGCTCAACGTTAAAGTCTTACGATATAATTGTTTATCGCTATCTTTCAGATTAGCGATGGTATTTGCAGAATTAATCGGAGTTATCATTGTTGCACTCAGTGTTTTATATATTTATTATAAATTTGTGATATTTAATTTCTGGCGTAAGAGGAATGTCTTTTACCTCGAACCTGTTGTACCAATTGGAAACCTAAAGGATTTTATAAATGGAAAAAAGCAGATGGGCAAGTATCGTCACGTAATTGTAATCAGTACAGTATGCATATAATTATTTTTTGTGGAGATATTTTTACATTTATTGTTAATTTAAATTTAAATAAAATTTGAAAGCTGATATTTCAAAATAAAAACATTTAACCCAAGGAGCGCCAATGCCCATCTAACGTGCTTTTAATGCACATTTTATTGCATTGGCTTCAAAATAACATTAATTGTGTGTTCAAAATGCGCGAATTTAACATGTTTGGGCATATTTGAGATATATAATTTTATATAATTCTCTATATTTATACATGCTTATGCATGAAAAATTATGCATAGGTGGTTAATGGTACAGTTTTTTAGAATGCACTTCCACAATATACATTAAATGCATATTTAATGTATACTTGGTCAGAAAAATGTTAGCAAATTGGTATCAAATTGGCAACAGACTTGATAAATATGTTAAATTCGCGCATTTTCAACACACAATTAATATTGTTTTAAAGCGAAATCTTGAGAAAATTTACTTTAAATGAAGTTGAAGCTTTTAAAAGTAATCTTTCAAATCTAAGAGTTTACTTAAAGAAGTTAAAAGTTTACTTAAGAAATTATAGAGTAATATTGGACACTTAAAATAATTTTCAGACAACCAAGTCCGTCAAAGTTCCCGCTCCCTCGCGGCATAGCACTTTCTCATAAGAAAACCGCACGCGGTTTATTATAGATTATATCACATATTTTTCACAATTTTCTCAAAGTATTCTTTTAAATTCTTAAAGTAAGTTTTAAGTTTTAAGTTTATCTTAAATTAAAGTTTAAAGTGTCTAAATTTATTTTTCATATTTCTTATTTTTGTAAAGTAAAATTTTAAAGTTTTTTAAGGTATCAACTTAACACAATGTAATGACTTTATCTGGCAATTTATTATAAATTAGTCAAAACGACGTTTCGATCGCGAATTGCGATCCTCTTCAGGTTACATAATATAGCGTATGACTAAAGTAGGTTGACTAATGTGGAAGCAGTCAGTCATATATCTACAAAAGTCGGTTCGTCAATTATGAAGATAAAGCTTAATAGAACGGATAGTCTCTCTATAGCAGATTTCTCATGCACGATCTCAAAAAGACGTCCATTCCACACAGCACTTAGAAACGTTATTGTTTCTAAAAAAAATTTTTTTTAAGGTATATTTTCCCAACGGAATGCAATAAAACGCGCATTAAAAGCACGTTATACATATATCATATAATGGCGTGAGATAATAATCATATAGTGAAATAAAATTATACATATAGCATAAAACTCTTGCTACATACGCTTTTATATTTTACCAAATTATAGGCTTCGCATTAAATTACTATATTTTATTTAGTTCCATTATTATAATTTTACTAATATTTCTATAAAATCAATGATTTATAATATTCTGTTTATTTATTTGTTTATATATATATCTATTTGTTAAGACTACGGAATTAATTAAAATAATTTATTGACAGGCGTATTCTTTCATGACATCTACATAAAATATAAAGACCATGGCGCTATTGGAATCTATTCACTTTTTAAACCAAACTTAGTAATTGCTGACCTTGATCTTGTTAGAACGGTATTAACAAAAGAATTCGCAAGTTTCCACGATCGCGGAATATTTTGCAATGAAAAAGTTGACCCATTGATTGGCAATTTGTTTTTTATAATGGGGAAAAAATGGCGAAATCTACGCGTCAAGATGACACCCACTTTCACTTCCGGAAAAATAAAGCAAATGTTCCCGATCCTAAGCGAATGTAGCGAAGAGCTCGCAAAGTTCCTGAATAGCAAAGCGCAGATGAGAGAATCCATCGACATAAAAGATATATTTGCAAGGTAAAATTTTCTGAAAGAACTGTTATATAAACAAAGTTTGAATGCCAAGGAATAGAGAATATATAATTTTAAAAATGCATATAGATAATGCAAATATTAAGTAATAGAATGAACGAAAATTGATTAACAATTTTGTTAATTTTACCAATAGATATACAACGGATGTAATAATGTCAGCGGCATTTGGGGTCAAATCTAATTGTATTGGAGAGCCGAATAACGAATATCGTATTCAGGGAAGAAAAGCTTTTGAAGTTACCCCACTTATACTCGCCTTGGCTGTGTACGCGCCACAAATTATGGATCTTTTTTCACTTACCTTCTTTGACCGAGGTGTCATCAAATTTTACATGAACATGTTTCGAGAGAATGTAGAATACAGACGTACTCATAATATCGTAAGACAAGACTTTATGAATCTGCTCATGCAGCTCATGGATAGAGGCTATGTTGAACCTGACATGGACGATGACAAGAAGAAAATTAATGAATCATGTGAATATATACATTTTCTTGTTTTTGTATTAATAGTTACTCTACGTGTTATGCAAGTATACATATCGTTTTGCATCACAATATTTTGTAAATTATAAAATTAAGATTCTTTAACACATTGTACAGGATGACAGATTCGTAATAGACCAAAATAAAATTTACGGTAGATTAGATCAAACTAAGAAAAAAAGTCATGCAACATTTTATAGAATTTGCAATAATTATCGTGTAAATAACAAAAATGTCTATAGGCAAATGAGCGCACAAGGTATCAAAAGCCGAACTCGACAGGTGCAAAATAGCTGACTTGTTTATAACTTTTTAGATATGACAGCAAGATGTGGAGTCACGCATTGCTTGGTAAGAAACTATCGGTGAACGGTATGCGTTGAGTAGAAACTGTGGAAAGGTGTGAAAACGAGCGGCGCTGTTAGATCCTAAGAGATAAAAACAAAGTAATCTTTTGCATACGTTCCGAGTGCGGTCTTCTATACCTTGTGTGCTCATTCGCTCAAACAATTTTGTTAATTACACTATAGTTATTGCAAATTTTGTAAAATGCTTGACTTTTTTCTCAATTTAACTCAATCTACTATAAATTTTGTTTCGGTCCATAACGAATCTGACACCCTGTATAAGACATTTGATAGTTAACAAAATTATGTTAACAAATTATTTTATTTGTCTATAGCAACTGTGAGTAAACTTACTATCGCAGAGGCCACTGCGCAAAGTTTTGTCTTTTTCGCAGCTGGTTACGAAACTTCTTCGACGACAGCAACATTCGCTCTATATGAATTGGCTCAATACCATGATATACAAGACAAAGTTCGCAAAGAAATCGACGAAATACTAGCAAAACATGGTGGTCTGACCTATGACTCTGTGAATGATATGACTTATCTTCATAAAGTAGTAAATGGCAAGTACATATGAAATATATTTCGTTATTTATGTTATATGTTTAACTTTAAGTAAAGTACAAGTATTTCAAAAAAGATTAATTTCCACACCTTTCTTCTACATATTTCAGAGACTCTGAGGAAATATCCACCCATTCCATTCTTGAATCGCATCTGTACTAAAGACATAGCCTTACCAATGAACATTAACCTACCAAAGGGTACTTCAATTACTATACCAGTGCTTGGGTTTCATCGAGATCCGTCAATATATCCAGATCCAGATAAATTTGATCCGGAACGATTCAATGCAGACGTGGTGGCAGACAGGCATCCTTATGCTTATTTACCATTTGGAGAAGGTCCTCGAGTCTGCATCGGTAAAATTATAAATTAATCTATTATTATATTTAATTAACAAATTATTTTCATAATTTATATATTATTTCATTATTTCAATAGTTTTTAAATTTTATTTATTCAGGGCTGGGTAAAATGCTTTTTGAATTGCATTTAAAATGCCAAATGCAAAATACCTGAAAAAAATGTATTTAAGATGCAAAATGTAAAATGGATTTTCCAAATCCATTTTAAATGTAAAATGGATAAATAGGTATTTTAAATGGTTTTCAAATGCAAAATGGTTTTTTCTAGTATATGCAGTTTATTTGGTTATTAATACATATTATATATATGTTTATTTGATAAATGCGCTGTTTAATTTGAGCAGCAATTGTTTTTCGAAAGTATCATCGTGCATACTTCGACGATTGGGGCGACAAATGATGCTCGCGGACGTTAAGTTCAAGGCGGCCATAAAGAAAATTGTTGTTCGGCCAATCACGGGACTCGGTTTCTCTTAAGGTCCCATTTCATCGACGCTACGATTTGGCGTCAAATATAGTCACGTGACTAAATTTACTGACCCGAGTACCCCAGAGTATCATTTTATCCTTGTTTAACATACGGTGAGCAACAAGGATAGAATAATACGCTGGGGTACTCGGGTGGCGTTTCTGAACGCAACCCTTGCGACACGCCAGTCACCACGGCACACTGGAAAAGTTGAGACGGTCTCAACTTTTTCCCCCACTACGTCGAGAAGTCACTAGACCTCATTTGTCGCTGGTTTCTAGCGTTCATGAAATTGCGCCTTTATGCGTTAATGACGCTAAGCGAAATTTGTGAGCGCTTAGAAAAACGATTTACCCATTTTACAAATGGTTAAATGTAATAAAATTTCCATTTCAAATGTAAAAGAGAAATGGTTTTCCAAAAGCATTTAAAATAGAAAATGCAAAATGCCATTTCCATTTTAAATACATATTTAAAATGGAACCATTTCGAATGGTTACCCAGCCCTGTATTTATTTATAAAATTGTTTTAATTATACTCTCAAACTCCTCGAAATTTACAATAATTTATTGTGAAAATGTCTCACAAGTGTCGTGGCATTAATATCATTATTTCTCAGGTGCGCGATTTGGCTACATACAAACTAAAGTTGGACTCGTGAGCCTTTTGTCGAGATACAAATTCCACCTTGATCCTCAAACTCGAGTACCACTTATTTTTAACGAAGGTGCTGGTGTTCTTTCGGTGAAAGGTGGCGTACACTTGTTTATCGAACCGCGATAAAATAATTGTGCTGTTGTGTGATCTAAAAAATATTTGTATTCACTCCTGACTTATTTTAACAGAAATTTACTGTTTATTTCTAACTTTCAATTCATATATCTCCATTTATAAAAAAAGCTGTATACAAGGTGTTTCCTCTAAGTTGAGAACATAGAATGTCTCAAAACGCATAAGTTCCAGAAGAAAACTTTTCAGACAAAAGTTGTAGTGTTTCAAGTAACGCATTACACATAGCAATATCAGTATGATCTTGAATGACGTTGTCAAGATTATGTGAAGGTCATCGCAAATTTCTTAAATGAAACCCCATATTGTTTATTATACTATGTTGTAATACTAATTTTTATGTATGTCAATTTTATGTATGTTACAATACCCAGAAACAAACAAAAATCACTATTATTGTAAAAATATAATCGCTTAAAAAAGAAACAAGAAAAAGAATTTTTACATTTACTGGCAAAAATCGCAGATGTATTCCTTTTTGCATCTCCTGCGCACTCATTGTGAGCCTAGAGATCACATATGAAACATTGAATCTATGGTATAGCCGCCTTGGTGGTCCATAATGTATACATCATAATTTTGTACAACTACCTATAGCGACATACAGAAAAACTAAGAGGACTAAATATCCTTAAATGTGTAGAAATATTAGATTACGTTATGTAGATAAAGTGTCTGGCACTAAAAGTTACCTGTTCATTACGAACAGTCGAAAATATCCAAAGATTTATATACCTTTTTAATATTCGGAAATCTACAAAAGAAAAATACTCTTTTACTCTCGTTATCACAAAGGTGCTGCAATCCGTTGTCATGTTGAGTGAGCAAGATCTGCTCGATTTCTGCCGCCAATCTGCTGTCTAAACATGTAATCAAACTTTGTTATATTTCTGTTGAGGTTCTGCCCGAAATCATGTGATATATCAAAGCCTGTATCGAATCAAATAATGTTCGCAACGATAAAAAACGTAAAAATAAGATAAGAAAAACAGAACAGGATTAATTATTGTGACTCTATTATTTATTTAATTATTGTTATTTTATATATTTCCTAAATTAACATTTATTCCTATATACATATATATTTCTAAAATTACAATTCGATGTCATTGTACCTTGAAAAATATGGAATAAAAATAAAAAATTAAATGTCATAAAAACCAATGTAATATTTATTTAATAATAAAACGCTGAATACTGAAAATGAAAAATATAATATAAACACAAAATTATAAACAAAGCCAATATGAACTGCTTTTACACACTAAGCCTATAATGCTGATATTGCAGTTCGATAAGTTGCGATTCAACTAGTAGAATAAGTTGTTTCATATACCAGGGCATTTATATATGTCATACATCTATGGCGAGTAAAAATGTACTGGTACATACACCTCAGTTCTTTCACTATGGATAATGTTAGTACATAAGGCATTTATATTTGATGTCCGTATACATATAGGTTGTCTACACCTGGTTAAACAGTCATACTTAAAATATGAATTTAGGGCCTCAAAACAACCAAATATTTTATCTGGAAATTTGCTCGCAAACGCTTCCTTGAAGAGATATTGACTTTGGAAGTTTTAAACAATAGGACTGAATAATGTCGCAATGTATCTTTTTATGTGTTGAAGATCGAAGGTCATTGACAAGCTTGTGTGTAAACGCAACAGGCTTTGCACTTTAAACAAAGCTGCATTCATTAGTACCAAATTATTCTTAATTAGTTGAATGCTTTCATGAAGTAATTATGCCTCATACGCGTTCCAATGGTAAATATGCCGATACAGTATTTGTGTATGAGTTTTGTGATGGAAACACTACTGCTGTTCGCCGTGAATACGCTGCGCGATTTCCAAACGGAAGATTACCGACTCTTGTATCTTCTTCAATATTTCTTGCACCGAAATTTCAGTTCCACAATGTCAGTAAGCCACTCGTTCTGTTATTGATAGGTGCAATACTGGCCTCCGCGCTGGAGGTCATCATTTTGAACAAAATATTTAATTGAGACGGGAAACTTATAGTCAACCCAACTGGCTGGTTACTTTATTAGTTTACTACAATGTTTCGACCCTATTTTTTGGATCCCCATCAAGTGGTACTGCAAGTTAACAACAAACGTAATTATGAAATAATATAAGTTAATAAGTAAAACGGATACAAGTTAAGAAACGCACCTAAGTCAGTGATCGTCCAATAAGACAGAGTCGAATTATAAAATATACGCATACGTGTGAGCACTGTGGTTGCTGGGCTCGAACTGATTTGTTAGTCATGCCTTAGGAACAATACAAGGTGATATTGCGAACCATACAGTTTTGATTACACAGTCATATTTATTACATTTAAGTTTTCGATGTCTGTTTGTAAATTTAACGTGTTATCGGTCTTCTTGATAAAAAACATTTCGGCAATTTCTCTTTTTCTCCTGAGGTGCTCGCTATGCAAAATTCTTGGTTTCGACCAATTGAACTCGTAATCATGTAATACACGGTGTTTACTAACCACGGAGTGGTTTTTTTATGTCATCTCTATGTCCTTTAATTTTGGTCAGGTGTCGTTTAGTTTGCCCAATGTAAGAGGCTTCACAGTCGTTGCAATTAATATAGTAGATGACTTCGATTTTAGTCCCAATTTATTTGATCTTTACCTCTTTTAATAATTTTATCTAATTTTTTTGTGACAGTATAGATAGTGTTTAGGCCTGTATTATTTAAGTTCGTGGTAACTTTTTCTATCAATCCTCTAACTCTAGAGTAGGCGCGTGCGGTCTCACAGACCGACGCAACACAAAAAGTTGTATATGCATCCAGCGCATCGGAATTTTCCATCACTTTTTTTCTAGCTGCCGTTCTTGGCATAAAAAACGAACAGTTCAGTGCAGGCTCTCGATGCGTATAGTCATATCGTACATATTTGTATTCGGTCCTAGAGACCGACGCGTCTACTCGCGTTTGAGACATCAAGTGGCTATTGCAACCAGAAAATTTCAGGTAATGCACGCTTTTCATCGCTTTAGAAGTTAATTGTCATTGGACCCACTTAAAAATATTATAATTATTGTTATAATTTGCGATTATACAGTCATGGCGACCTACGAAGCGGAGTAAACTCGAATGGAACGATTGCTTATTTTTTGTGCAATTTGCATGTATATCATGACAATCAAACTTTCTTAACTTATTTTTATTTAATTATCCTTTAAAACAAATGAGATTGGAACGTGTAATGGCTCATTCAGACTGGACGCGAAGAGTGACGAGCTACGCGCGATTATCCGATGAGCGTACAGGTTTTATGGGAAAGCGTACAGGTTTTATGGGAAAGCGTACAGTTTTCCTATAAAGACTGCACGCCCATTGGATATCGCGCGTCGCTCATCGTTCATCGCGTTCAGTCTGAATGAGCCATAAGAATGCAACACTCTCCATTTTCTTATGGCGGTCTCACAGACTGACGCGCCTACTCGTGTTCAAAAAGTACACCTGCTCTAGGGTTAATATAGGGGAGGATAATGTTTTTTGGGGTTAAAACTTTTTTTAATATCGGTTGCGCAGTCACTATGAGTGGTATCCCGCCTCTTTAATTCATTAAATCTAATGTTTAAGTGTTTATTAATAGTTTTGTTAGGAAAGGAGTTATTGATTTAAATTTTCTTAACACCCGATCGATATTCTGTTTCCAGTATTTGTTGTCAGAGAGTAAAAATGCGCGTTCAACTAGACTAATATGTAAATTTTGTGTACGTCACAATACATAAAAATTTTCAATAATTGGAACACTATTGCAACAGCATATTCCTGAGACTAAATCAAGTAAAAAAGTCCTGTACTATTGTACTTTTCCCTCCGACAAACAGTTATCGAGATGTCAAAAGCTAAACATTGAAAAAATTATAAATTTTCTCTTGAATATCTCACAAAGTATTAGGCAAATAAAAAATGTTTCAGACAAAAGTTGTTCATAGTAATTAGTGGAATAAGATAGGTATAATAAACAATAGGGGGTTTTATTAAAAAAATTAAAGGTAACCTTTACGTGACCTTCAAGCAATTCACTATTCAAGGTCAAATTAATGACACCATCTTCTTCCTTATCAATCTCGGTTTTCTTTACATCTTTGACTATTTTATTATACACAGTGAGATTGTATTTTGTAATTTGATCTGTACTTTGTAATTTGATTCGAAATCCCGATTATTGAATGTTCTTTCAGATTTGCCTTGAGAAGGACCTAAACCCTAAGGTCGAAACGTCGCATTATATATTTTAATTTTATTATATTAAACACTGGCCAGTTAAAGTCGACTAAATCTTGCTTTTTGTTAAAATAATTTTATATAAATACCCAAGGGACGCCAATGCGCGTATAATGTGTTGTAAATGTACATTTAACTTCGCATTTAATGCACGTATTTGTCCTGTATTAAATGCGCATTTAATGTATACTTTAGCAGAGTGAATTTGGGTGCTGTGTGAAGCTAACAGTCCCCCCCCCCCCCACTTAACCCAACCGGTCCGAACGCGCTGCGACCAGAAGGAGCGGCGGAAACAAATGTACATTAAAAGCACGTTAGATGGACATTGGCGCTCCTTGGGTAGTCAATTGCAAATCCTGAGTCATAATTCACGTATAGTCTGGCACAAGTTGTACAAAAGAGAAGTTTAAAACTAAATATTCTTATCAAATCTTACTCAACGTCAACGTATTAGAGGATGATCATTTTTCATCATATTTCAGATTAGCCATGGCACTTGTAGAATTAATCGGACTTTTCATTGTTACCCTGAGCAGTCTGTATATTTATTATAAATTTGTGATTTTCAATTTCTGGCGTAAGAGGGGTGTTTTTTACGTCGAACCCACTGTACCAACTGGAAATTTAACAGCCTTTGTCAAAAAAAGAAAGCAAATAGGCGAGTACCTCTACGTAATAGTAATCAGCACAATATGTGTATACACAATTCTTTTTTTTGAACATATGTACAAAGGACATCCTTTTACGTTTATTATTAATTAAACCGTTTAAATAAAATTTGAAAGTTGAATTTGAAAATGAAAGCATTTAACATGTAATGGCCTGATATAATAATCGTATAATGTATTAAAATTATATATATTTTTGTAAAACTTCCGTTAAAGATACTTTTATAGTTTTACTATATTCACTATAATTACTATATTTTTTATTTATTACTTGTTTTTATTGTGACAAAGTCGTTAACACTCATGTAAAATTAATGATTTATGCTGTTGTTTATTTATCTGTTCATGTAGGTCTACTTGAAAAAAAACCGCAAAATTAATTAAAATAATTTTTCAACAGGTGTATTATTCCATGATGTTTACCAAAAATATAAGGAACATCGCCTTATTGGAATGTTTTTATTTTATAAACCAAACTTAGTAATTGCTCACCCCGAACTTATTAAAATGGTATTAACAAAAGAATTCGTAAGTTTCCACGATCGTGGAATGTTCTGCAATGAAAGAATTGACCCATTATCTGGCAATTTGTTTTGTTTGTCTGGAAATAAGTGGCGAAATCTGCGTAGCAAGTTGACACCCACTTTCAGTGTGGGAAAAATAAAGCAAATGTTCCCAATCCTGACGGAGTGTGGCGAGAAACTCTCAAAATACTTGGATTGCAAAGCGCAGATGAGAGATTCTATCGAGATAAAAGATATACTTTCAAGGTAAATTTGTTTTTTAAAGAACTGTGACAATAACATGACATAAACAAACTTGCTTGAATTCCTAGGAATAGAAGATATTTAATTTAAAGAATGCATGTAGATAAAGTAAATATCGGAAAATAGAATTTGTTAAAATTTATTTAAATTTATGTGTCAATTTTACTAATAGGTATACAATAGATGTAATCATGGCAACGGCTTTTGGTATCAACTCTAATTGTATAGAGGAACCTACTAACGAATATCGTATCTACGGACGAAAAAGTTTTAAACCAATTAGTTCAATTCGAATCGTCTTGGCTATGTTCGTGCCACAAATTATGGATTTCTTTTCCCTTCCCTTCATTGACCAAAAGGTCTACAGATTTTACATGAACTTGTTTCGAGAGAATGTGGAATACAGACAAACTCATAACATCGTAAGAAAAGACTTTATGAATCTGCTCATGCAACTCATGGAAAAAGGCTATGTTGATCCTGACAAGGAAGATGACGAGACAACAACTAATGCATCATGTAAGTATATACGTTTTATGGTTTTTGGATTAATAGTTAGTCTACGTGTTATAAAATTGTATATCGTAATGCAACTAGATTACAATAACGTTGCAATATCATACTGCAGTGCAATATTGTAGAAAGATTTTGTAGACATAAATTTACAGTATAGTTCGAACAATATTATAGCAACAACTATTTTCACAAATATTGTGAACTTCTAAATCATTCTATATAGCAATACAAATTTGTTTTTGCTTATGAATGAATTTATCATTTATATGACATATAATTTTTACAACAAAGTTCAAATTTTTTTGTACATTTTTCCCCAATATAATCTATAACTGTATAAATGTAATTTATTTGTTATTTTTAAAATGAGACCATAAATTGAAAGTCTAACGATATTAGAATAATTATATAATTACATTCTTTCCCAATATTGGCGCCAATACATTGTGCTACTAAGGTTGTTATGATGTTATGATAAATTTATATATCAATTCATTGTTTATATACTATTATTGTTGTCATGTATTATTAGCATGATGTTATATTAATTTTGATGCTAACTTTATTTTATAGTGTATAATTTTTTAAGTTAGTATATCACAATATTAAAGAAACGTAAATGCAATATTAACATAGCAAATATTATTTCAACATTGCCGGAACCTCGAAATCAGTGTCAAAGTATGCTCATAACGATATTACCTATAACGTTAAAAACTACATAGTTGAATATGTTACCATATTAGTTTGAATGTCGTTATAAAAACGTTGTAACAATGATTTCTTACTTACTAGTAAGGCATTTAATAGTTAACAAATTATTTTGTTTGTCCATAGCAACTGTAAGAAAACTTACTATGACAGAGGCTGCAGCGCAAAGTCATTTCTTCTTTGTAGCTGGTTACGAAACTTCTTCGACGGCAACAACGTTTGCTCTATATGAATTGGCTCAACATCAAGATATACAAGACAAAGTTTGCAAAGAAATCGATGAAATGTTAGCGAAACATGGTGGTCTGACATATGATGCTGTGAATGAAATGACTTATCTTCACAAAGTGGTATATGGTAAGTCCACCTTAAATATAAAAAAATCATACGTTATTTACTTGTATATAATAATTTAAATAAATTGCGATTATTTAAAACGAGAAATGTATCGTCATACTTTTCTTTTACATATTTCAGAAACTATGAGAAAATATCCACCTCTTCCATTGTTAAATCGCATTTGTACTAAAGAAACAGACATACCAACAATGAACCTACGCCTACCGAAGGGAACTTTAATCTCTATACCAGTGCTTGGGTTGCATCGAGATCCATCAATATATCCAGATCCAGATAAATTTGATCCAGAACGATTCAATGAGAACGTAGTAGCAGAAAGACATCCTTATGCTTATTTACCATTCGGAGAAGGTCCCCGAATGTGCCTCGGTAGGACTGTAAATTAATCTATTATTATATTTATACATCAATTCATTGTTTATGTACTATTATTTATGTACAATTATATTTAAATTGACACTAATAGTCATTTTATGTCAATCTTTTTATTTCAAAATCTTCAATTAAGTACATTTTTGTTAAATAACAATGGCTCGTATGATAAAAATCGAACGGTAAAAGGAACTTAGAGCCTAGATAGATCTTATACATAGACAGCGTAATTTTTTATATCATTAGTATACCGGCTTTTATGCATCTAAGCTCCTTTTACCGTTCGATTTTTATCATACGAGCCATTGTTATTTAACAAAAATGTATTTGCTATAAATAAATATGATAACGTTAATAGTATATGTAATAATAATATGTAGTAACAATAGTAATAATTAATAAATCAATACTTTTGAAATGTTTTATCCGATATTATTTTGATAGCAGTCTCTAAATACATATTGTCAACATTTTCCAAAGAAATTTAAATAACATATGTTTATCTTAACAACTTACATTTAAGTTAAAAGTATTCTTTAAAACATTAGTTTATTTTATCTTACTCTTCATAGTTACTCTTAATTTTAAATTCTATTTAATTATGAAATTTTTAAAATTATATTTAAATAAACTTCCCGATACTTACAATAAGCTATTGTGAAATTATATCATAGGTTTCGTTAATATCATTGTCATTACTTTTCAGGCGCACTATTTGGCTACTTGCAAACAAAAGTCGCACTGGTGAGTCTTTTGTCGAAGTACAAATTCACCCTTCACCCCCAGACTCAGGTCCCACTTAATTTTCACGAGATGAGCGTTATTCTTTGGGTAAAAGGTGGCGTACACTTGATTATTGAAACACGAGAAAATAATTTCGTTGTTACGTGAACCAGAAATATTTGTATTTGTCAGTTACTGTTAAAATATGTTAATAGAATTAATGTGTTTTAATATTCGTTATATTGTAAATATGCACTACATACGGGTGCAGGAATAAAATATACTATTAAAGAATTATACAGTAGTTACAGGACACTCTGTATATATTTATATTTTTAAACTTTGTTTTATTTATTCATTTAAAAAACCCGTGTTTATATATCCATAAAGAACAGATTGTTATAAATTACACATAAAGCTTGGTTTATATTGTGCGGAGTATGGAAAAATTTTCGCACAATTGACAATATCAACTAAAGGCAGCGTTAGATTTTAAAATGTAACAAGTTTTTCAAAATTTTACATTTGTGTATGCCAAATTATGAGAAAGGAAATTTTAAACCATTAGTTTCGGCGTATATTTAAAAGTTTCCGTTTCAATACATATTGTTTATTCTTAAAGCTGTTACTGAACTACAATATTTGCATCAATTTCACTGCTTATACAAATAATTTACACATTCTCTCTCTCTCTCTCTCTCTCTCCCCCCCCCCCCTTTCTCTCTCGTATTCTTGATTTATAAAATCTTATGTCCGCACTTTCACAAATAATTATCAATATGTAACATCACTTTTGTGCGTCTTTGCAAGGTATCAAAGTGGTCGGACTTGTTTCCCGTCGATAAACTGTAGCCATGTGCTACAGTTTTATACAATTTTCAGTTCCACAATGTCAGTCAGCCACTCATTCTGTTATTGATAAGTGCAATGTTGGTCTCCACGCTGGAGGTCATCGTTTTGAACAAAATATTTAATTGAGACGGAAAACTTATAGTCAACCCAACCGGCTGGTTACTTTATTAGTTTACTACAACGTTTCGACCCTATTTTTGGATCCTTATCAAGTGGTACTGCAAGTCAACAACAAACGTAATTATGAAATAATATAAGTTAATAAGTAAAACGGATACAAGTTAAGAAACGCACCTAAGTCAGTAATCGTCCAATAAGACAGAGTCGAATTATAAAATATACGCATACGTGTGAGCACTGTGGTTGCTGGGCTCGAACTGATTTGTTAGTCATATCTTAGGAACAATACAAGGTGATATTGCGAACCATACAGTTTTGATTACACAGTCATATATTACATTTAAGTTTTCGATGTCTGTTTGTAAATTTAACGTGTTATCGGTCTTCTTGATAAAAAACATTTCGGCAATTTCTCTTTTTCTTCTGAGATACTCGCTATGGAAAATTCTTGGTTTCGACCAATTGAATTCGTAATCATGTAATACACAGTGTTTACTAACCACGGAGTGGTTTTTTATGTCATCTCTATGTTCTTTAATTTTGGTCAGGTGTCGTTTAGTTTGTCCAATGTAAGAGGCTTCACAGTCGTTGCAATTAATATAGTAGATGACTTCGATTTTAGTCCCAATTTATTTGATCTTTACCTCTTTTAATAATTTTATCTAATTTTTTTGTGACAGTATAGACAGTGTTTAGGCCTGTATTATTTAAGTTCGTGTTAACTTTTTCTATCAATCCTCTAACCCTAGAGCAGGCCTGGGCAATTTTCACTGCCCGCGGGCGCCCGTTTGCCCGCGGGCAATAGCTGTGCGTGTCGGGCAAGAGTGGGGAGACAGTTTCGGCAAGTGGGAAAGAACGTCGCGCTTTAGAAGTATAGTTCCGAATATGATTGAGACGTGGTGGGGCGATGATTGGAGTGGGGGCATGCCCGCGGGCATGCCCGCGGGCAGCATTTTGCCCACCCCTGCCCTAGAGTAGGCGCGCGCGGTCTCACAGACCGACGACGCTACACAAAAAGTTGTATATGCATCCAGCGCATCGGAATTTTCCATCACGTTTCTTTCTAGCTGCCGTTCTTGGCATAAAAAACGAACAGTTCAGTGCAGGCTCTCGATGCGTATAGTCATATCGTACATATTTGTATTCGGTCCTAGAGACCGACGCGTCTACCCGCGTTTGAGACATCAAGTGGCTATTGCAACCAGAAAATTTAAGGTAATGCATGCTTTTCATCGCTTTAGAAGTTAATTGTCATTGGACCCACTTAAAAATATTATAATTATTGTTATAATTTGAGATTATACAGTCATGGCGACCTACGAAGCGCAGTAAACTCGAATGGAACGATTGCTTATTTTTTGTGCAATTTGCATGTAGGTATATCATGACAATAAAACTTTCTTAACTTATTTTTATTTAATTATCCTTTAAAATAAATGAGATTGGAACGTGTAATGGCTCATTCAGACTGGACGCGAAGAGCGACGAGCTACGCGCGATTATCCGATGAGCGTACAGGTTTTATGGGAAAGCGTACAGTTTTCCTATAAAGACTGCACGCCCATTGGATATCGCGCGTCGCTCATCGTTCATCGCGTTCAGTCTGAATGAGCCATAAGAATGCAAAACTCTCCATTTTCTTATGGCGGTCTCACAGACTGACGCGCCTATTACTCGTGTTCAAAAAGTACACCTGCTCTAGGGTTAATATAGGGGAGGATAATGTTTTTTGGGGTTAAAACTTTTTTTAATATCGGTTGCGCAGTCACTATGAGTGGTATCCCGCCTCGTTAATTCATTAAATCTAATGTTTAAGTGTTTATTAATAGTTTTGTTAGGAAAGGAGTTATTGATTTAAATTTTCTTAACACCTGATCGACATTCTGTTTCCAGTATTTGTTGTCAGAGAGTAAAAATGCGCGATAAACTAGACTAATATGTAAATTTTGTGTATGTCACAATACATAAAAATTTTAAATAATTGGAACACTATTGCAACAGCATATTCCTGAGACTAAATCAAGTAAGAAAAGTCCTGTACTATTGTACTTTTCCCTCCGACAAACAGTTATCGAGATGTCAAAAGCGAAACATTGAAAAAATTATAAATTTTCTCTTGAATATCTCACAAAGTATTAGGCAAATAAAAAATGTTTCAGACAAAAGTTGTTCATAGTAATTAGTGGAATAAGATAGGTATAATAAACAATAGGGGGTTTTATTAAAAACATTAAAGGTAACCTTCACGTGACCTTCAAGCAATTCACTATTCAAGGTCAAATTAATGACACCATCTTCTTTCTTGTGGAATTAATCTTTTTGTGTGGAAATTAATCTTTTTTTAAATACTTGTACTTTACTTAAAGTTAAACATATAACATAAATAACGAAATATATTTCATATGTACTTGCCATTTACTACTTTATGAAGATAAGTCATATCATTCACAGAGTCATAGGTCAGACCACCATGTTTTGCTAGCATTTCGTCGATTTCTTATCAATCTCGGTTTCTCTTACATCTTTGACTATTTTATTATACACAGTGAAATTGTATTTTGTAATTTGATCTGTACTTTGTAATTTGATTCGAAATCACGATTATTGAATGTTCTTTCAGATTTCCCTTGAGAAGGACCTAAACCCTAAGATCGAAACGTCGCATTATATATGTTAATTTTATTATATTAAACACTGGCCAGTTAAAGTCGACTAAATCTAGCTTTTTGTTCAAATAATTTTATATAAAACCCAAGGGACGCCAATGCGCGTATGATGTGTTGTAAATGTACAATGCGCATTTAATGTATACTTTAGCAGAGTGAACTTGGGTGCGGTGTGAAGCTAACAGTCCCCCCCCCCCCCACTTAACCCAACCGGTCCGAACGCGCTGCGACCAGGAGGAGCGGCGGAAAAAAATGTACAAGTTAGATGGACATTGGCTCTCCTTGGGTAGTCAATTGCAAATCGTGAGTCATAAAACACGTGTAGTCTGGCACAAGTTGTACAAAAGAGAAGTTTGAAACTACATATTCTTGTCAAATCTTACTCAATGTCAACGTATTAGAGGATGATCGTTTTTCATCATATTTCAGATTAGCCATGGCACTTGTAGAATTAATCGGACTTTTCATTGTTACCCTGAGCAGTCTGTATATTTATTATAAATTTGTGATTTTCAATTTCTGGCGTAAGAGGGGTGTTTTTTACGTCGAACCCACTGTACCAACTGGAAATTTAACAGCCTTTGTCAAAAAAAGAAAGCAAATAGGCGAGTATCTCTACGTAATAGTAATCAGCACAATATGTGTATACACAATTCTTGTTTTTGTACATATATACAAAGGATATCCTTTTACGTTCATTATTAATTAAAACGTTTAAATAAAATTTGAAAGTTGACTTTGAAAATGAAAACACTTAACATGTAATGGCCTGATATAATAATCGTATAATGTATTAAAATTATATATATTTTCATAAAACTTCCGTTAAAGATACTTTTATAGTTTTACTATATTCACTATAATTACTATATTTTTTATTTATTACTTGTTTTTATTGTGACAAAGTCGTTAACATTCATGTAAAATTAATGATTTATGCTGTTGTTTATTTATCTGTTCATGTAGGTCTACTTGAAAAAAAACCGCAAAATTAATTAAAATAATTTTTCAACAGGTGTATTATTCCATGATGTTTACCAAAAATATAAGGAACATCGCCTTATTGGAATGTTTTTATTTTATAAGCCAAACTTACTAATTGCTGACCCCGAACTTATTAAAATGGTATTAACAAAAGAATTCGTAAGTTTCCACGATCGTGGAATGTTCTGCAATGAAAGAGTTGAACCATTTTCTGGCAATTTGTTTTGTTTGTCTGGAAATAAGTGGCGAAATCTGCGTAACAAGTTGACACCCACTTTCAGTGTGGGAAAAATAAAGCAAATGTTCCCAATCCTGATGGAGTGTGGCGAGAAACTCTCAAAATACTTGGATTCCAAAGCGCAGATGAGAGATTCTGTCGAGATAAAAGATATACTTTCAAGGTAAATTTGTTTTTTAAAGAACTATGACAATAACATGACATAAACAAACTTGCTTCAATTCCTAGGAATAGAACATATTTAATTTAAAGAATGCATGTAGATAAAGTAAATATCGGAAAATAGAATTTGTTAAAATTTATTTAAATTTATGTGTCAATTTCACTAATAGGTATACAATAGATGTAATCATGGCAACGGCTTTTGGTATCAACTCTAATTGTATTGAGGAACCTACTAACGAATATCGTATTTACGGACGAAAAAGTTTTAAACCAATTAGTTCAATTCGAATCGCCTTGGGTATGTTCGTGCCACAAATTATGGATTTCTTTTCTATTCCCTACCTTGACCGAAAGGTCTACAGATTTTACATGAACTTGTTTCGAGAGAATGTGGAATACAGACAAACTCATAACATCGTAAGAAAAGACTTTATGAATCTGCTCATGCAACTCATGGAGAAAGGCTATGTTGATCCTGACAAGGAAGGTGACGAGACAACAACTAATGCAACTTGTAAGTATATACGTTTTATGGCTTTTGGATTAATAGTTAGTCTACGTGTTATAAAATTGCATATCGTAATGCAACTAGATTACAATAACGTTGCAATATCATACTGCAGTGCAATATTGTAGAAAGATTTTGTAGACATAAATTTACAGTATAGTTTGAACAATATTATAGCAACAACTATTTTCACAAATATTGTGAACTTCTAAATCATTCTATACAGGGTGCTACGCAAGACTTTGACGTCCGGTCATGGGAAGGTAGAGGGGACTAAGACAAACA